TAAAAATACAAAAATTAGCTGGGTGCAACGATGTGCACCTGTAGTGCTAGTTACTTGGGAGGCTGAGGCAGGAGAATCACTTGAGCTTGGGAGGCAGAGGTTGTAGTGAGCCGAGATCCTGCCACTGCACTCCAGCCTGGGCTGGAGTGAAACCCTGTCTCAAAAAGAAAAAAGAAAAAAGAAAAAAAAGGCAAAGGATTTGAATAGATATTGAACAGACATTTCCCCAAAGGAGACAAATGGCCAATAAGCCATGAAAACATCCTTAGTCATTAGGGAAATGCAAATCAAAACTACAATGACCTATCACTTCACACCCACTAGGATGGCTATAATTTAAAAATAATAATAATAATAAGGCTGGGTACCGTGGCTCATGCCTGTAATCCCAGAACTTTGGGAGGCTGAGGCAGATGGATCACTTGAGGTCAGGAATTTGAGATCAGCCTGTCCAACATGGTCAAATCCCATCTCTATTAAAAATACAAAAATTAGCCGGGCATGATGGTAGGGACCTGTAATCCTAACTACTCGGGAAGCTGAGGCAGAAGAATTGGTTGAACCTGGGGGGCAGAGGTTGCAGTGAGCCGAGATCGCGCCACTGCACTCCAGCCTGGGCGACAGAGTGAGACTCAGTATCAAAAAAAGAAAGGAAGTGTTGGTGAGGATGTGGAGAAATCAGAATTCTTAAATATTGCTGATGAGTTTGTAAAATAGTGCAACTGCTGGAGAAAACAGCTTGGCACTTTCTCAAGAAGTTTATAATTTACCATGTGACCCAGCAATCCCACTCCCAAGAGAAATGAAAACATATCCACAAAAAAACTTGTACACAAATGTTCTCAGAAGCATTATTCATAATAGCCAAAAAGTGGAAACAACCCAACTATTCATAAACTGATGGACAAACAAAATATGTTTTATCTAAACAATGCAATCTATTTGGCCATAAAAATTAGTGCTAATATGACAACATCAACTTTATGCTAAGTGAAATAAGTCAAACACAAAAGACTACACAGTGTGTGATTCCATTAGTATAGCATGTCCACAATGCGCAAGTCCATAGAGACAGAAAGTAGTTCAGAGGTTGCAAGGGCTCAGGTGAAAGAGGAATGAGGAGTGACTGTTAATGGGTATAAACCAAAAATAAAATTAGAAGGCCCTTTGCAACCATCTAAATGGACTCCCTCCTTGGCCAGCACACCCTAAAATTTAACCTGAAAGACCAGTTCAGGCCACAGTGGGAGATGGGAGTTGGACATGCCTCATTATACCCCTCCAACATTAACATCAACACAGACCGTAAGTCTGATAAGAAACATTTGTCTATTCTCTCTATAGCCTGCTACTGGTAGGCTTCAACTGCATAATAAAACCTAGGTCTCCCGGCCGGGCGCAGTGGCTCACGCCTGTAATCCTAGCACTTTGGGAGGCCAGGGGAGGGCAGTGGATCACTTGAGGTGAGGAGTTCGAGACCAGCCTGGCCAACATGGTAAAACCCCGTCTCTACTAAAACACACACACACAAAAAAAAAAGAGCTGGGCTTGGTGGCTCATGCCTGTAATCCCAGCTGCTCTGGAGGCTGAGGCAGAAGAATTGCTTGAATCCAGGAGGGGGAGGTTGCAGCAAGCCAAGATCGTTCCACTGCACTCCAGCCTGGGCAACAGAGCAAGACTCATTCTCAAAATAATAATAATATACTTAAAAAACCCAAAAAAACCCTAGGTCTCCACAACCCCTTATCATAATCCAGATATTCCTTTCTATAGATAATAACTCTTGTAACCAACTGCCAATCAGGATATGTTTAAATCTACCTGTGACTTGGAAGCCCCTCCTCTTCGAGTTGTCCTGCCCTTTCAGAATAGACATTGAACAGACATTTCCCCAAAGGAGACAAATGGCCAATAAGCACATAAAATCAATGTCAATCTTGCACGTATTGATTTATGTATTATGTCTTCCTAAAATGTATAAAGGCAGGCTGTGCCCCATCTTGGGCACATGTTGTAGGACTTCTTGAGGCTATGTCACCACCATGTCCTTAACCTTGCCAAAATAAACTTTCTAAATTGACTTGAAACTTGTCTCAGATACTTGGTTCACATAAGTTTCTTTTAGGGGCGATGAAAATGTTCCATAAACCACTCTACCTAAAATTAGGTAGTGATGATGGCTGCTCAACTGTGAATACACCAAAAAACACTGAATTGTACACTATAAAAGGGTGAGTTTTATGGTATGTTATTAAAAGTTGTTTAAAAGTGAGGGACCCCTCCAGTTATTGATACGGAATGATCTTCAGGAAAAGAGAATATGTTACATTTTGTACACGAAAGGGAAGGTGGGTACGAATATGTATTTGTATTGCTTTTTTCTATAAGCCGCCTAGGAGTGAAACCAAAATTCTTCACTTCTTTCAGCCCTACCCCGTTCCCTTTAAAAAACCTTTCCTTCCAGCTCACACTATCCACCATGTCCATCTTCGCCTCCTGGCACTGAGCCTTAGAGGGGCGGTGCTCCAGAAACATTTGCTACATGAATGAACGAATCAACCATCGGATTTTGGGGTGGGTCGGCGCAGCTCGGTTCCAGCGAGGGCTCCGCCTACCAGCGGGCTCCGCAGAGGGACAGAGGCCGGGCGGCCGCCTCGGTTAACTCCGCTGCAGCCCAAAGCACGGGAATCGCGGGACAAACAAACGAGCGGAGGTAACACACCTGCAGGCCAGGAAACCCCCAGGTGCGGTCCAACTTGGCCGGAAGCTGCGGAGAGACTCAGCCACCGGAAGTCAGTGGAGGTTTCGGCCGGCCGCTCTAGAATCCTGGAGGACCGGGATCTCTGTGGTTGGCCGTGACGGGCACCCTCTACCGGGGATGACACATTCCCAGAGCTCCTGGGACCGAGAAAATGGTGGGCACAATTCCCGGGGCGGAGGGGGACTTCGGGACCCAGTAGCCAAGATAACAGTCCCAGTCCCGGGCATCTCAGTCCGGACAGTTGCCCGAGCTCATGGGACTAGCTGTGATTGGCCGGACGAGGTCGAGCGCTAGATGGGGACGCGCGCGCTACGTGCAGGGGCGTTGCCTTCCATTCACTTGGCGCCCGACTGCCAGTGCGCATGCGTTTGAAGGCGGTGCCGGGCGGGGAGCACACCCCTGTGAAGTGCCGGGCACCCTCTGGGCGGCTCCCGCCGGCTAGCTGGACAGCGGCGCGCGCCAGGCGTGGCTTCCTCGGCCGGTGGGCTAGGATTGGGCGCAGCAGGTAGAAGGGGCAGGACCCTTCGCAGAAATAGCTCAGCGATTGGCCAGGAGCTGGAGGGAGCGTGGTGTTGGGAGGCGGGGCGGAGGGGGACGGACAGGGCAGCTCACGACGCTGAGGTGGTGGCCGCGGCCCTTGAATAAGTAAGTGAGCCACCCTCGGAGACTCCCGCGCTGGGGACGGGAGGCCGGTGAGCCTCGGGACCTCTGAAAGCCTTGAGGAGGCGCGGGGGTGAGTGCGGCCCGGGGGAAACCCAGGTGCCCCGCCCCTCCCTTTCTTCCTGGCCCGCGCCTCGCCTCCCCATCCCCCGACCCTGGCCTGGCCCCTGCTGGGCCCCGACCCCTGGGGTAGCGTGTTTTCCCCGAACCAACCGCGCGCTTGTGGCCCTTGTCGGTTTAGGGAACTGGGAAGTTCCCTGGTCCTCCTCCCCAGCCCGCAGAGGGGACGCTGAGGCCCACGGGAGGCGGTCCCCTCCTCACCCGAGTCTCCACGCAGACACCATGGCCGAGCCCCTGAAGGAGGAAGACGGCGAGGACGGCTCTGCGGAACCCCCCGGGCCCGTGAAGGCCGAACCCGCCCACACCGCTGCCTCTGTAGCGGCCAAGAACCTGGCCCTGCTTAAAGCCCGCTCCTTCGATGTGACCTTTGACGTGGGCGACGAGTACGAGATCATCGAGACCATAGGCAACGGGGCCTACGGAGTGGTGTCCTCCGCCCGCCGCCGCCTCACCGGTGAGCTTCCTGAGCCGTCGCCTCCCAGATGTGGCAGCGTCGCAGGGAGTGGGAAACCGGCCCGTCCCAGACAACTGGGAAGGAAAGCAGGGTGCGAGTTCTGGCTCCAGTCAACACACGCTGACCAGGACCCTCTGCCTGCCAGGCTCCGGGGAGGCTCGGTTCTCTGAAACTCTGGCCTGGGGGTTTTGCCATCCTGCCTGCCTACTTCCTCCTTAGAAAAATGACAGTCCCAGTTAGACCAGAATGGAGAGCCATTCCTTCGTGTCTAAGAGACAAATGTGTTCTGGAGCCAGACACTGGCACAAGGAACTGGTGGTGGGATGGGTGAGGTCTGAGATGCAGAGGGTGTAGGCATTAGAGACTGAACTCCACCACTGGGCAGCCGTGCAACCTCCAACAAGTTACTAAACCATATTTCCTTCTCTTTAACATTGACCTATTGGGACCTGCCCTGTAGGGGAGTTGTGAAGGTAACATTTAATAATGTAGGTAACATGCTTGGCACATAGTAGGTACCCAGTACTTGGTAGCTGTTGTCATTTGCATCCTAGAAGGGAGATGTTGATAGGGGCTGGGTCGACTCTGCAGTTTCTCCAAGGTATCCTCTGGTATGTCCCTGTTCCCTGCTCCTCAGGCCAGCAGGTGGCCATCAAGAAGATCCCTAATGCTTTCGATGTGGTGACCAATGCCAAGCGAACCCTCAGGGAGCTGAAGATCCTCAAGCACTTTAAGCACGACAACATCATCGCCATCAAGGACATCCTGAGGCCCACTGTGCCCTATGGCGAATTCAAATCTGTGTAAGAAGCGGGATGGGAGAGGGAGCCAGACTTGGGACTTTTCTGAAGGCTGCACCCATATTGCTGAAGTTCTGGAAGGGCAGCTGAATGTAATCTGAAGCAGGCTGGGAAAATTCCCGCAGTCCTAGGACCAGTTCTCCTTTAGAGTTTTGCCAGGGACAACTGTTATTCCTCAAGAAGTGTACAGATGATTTTACAGTTTTATAGAATCTTAGTATGTAGGATGTCAAATGTAGGACATTCCTACTATGACCACACCCTCCTATTCCCATAGCAGACTTCACTAATCAATCACAGAACACTTTCCTACAGACAGTGGACAAGCCTGATCAATTTTCATCATAGTTCTTCAAGCTGCCACTACCAAACAATGGAGATAGCCCCAAAAGGAAACCTATTGGCCAGCCCTGGTGTAGTCCAACCCCATCTTTTATCTGATGGGGAAACTAGGTCTGGAGACAAAAGTGATTTAACCAAGTTCATGGAAAAGTCGTAGAGAATCTAAAACGTGATGCTCTTCTTCCATACCATGCCGTCAGCCCCTACGGGGTCCCAGGGTAAGGCTGTTACCTGTCTGGAATCGGAAGGGTGTGGTGAGGATGGGGCTTGTCCCTGGAGTGTGATCAGGCCAACCCATGCTTCTCTCCTTCTTTCCCCTTCCAGCTACGTGGTCCTGGACCTGATGGAAAGTGACCTGCACCAGATCATCCACTCCTCACAGCCCCTCACACTGGAACACGTGCGCTACTTCCTGTACCAACTGCTGCGGGGCCTGAAGTACATGCACTCGGCTCAGGTCATCCACCGTGACCTCAAGCCCTCCAACCTATTGGTGAATGAGAACTGTGAGCTCAAGATTGGTGACTTTGGTATGGCTCGTGGCCTGTGCACCTCGCCTGCTGAACATCAATACTTCATGACCGAGTATGTGGCCACGCGCTGGTACCGTGCCCCTGAGCTCATGCTCTCTTTGCATGAGTATACACAGGCTATTGACCTTTGGTCTGTGGGCTGCATCTTTGGTGAGATGCTGGCCCGGCGCCAGCTCTTCCCAGGCAAAAACTATGTACACCAGCTACAGCTCATCATGATGGTGCTGGGTACCCCATCACCAGCCGTGATTCAGGCTGTGGGGGCTGAGAGGGTGCGGGCCTATATCCAGAGCTTGCCACCACGCCAGCCTGTGCCCTGGGAGACAGTGTACCCAGGTGCCGACCGTCAGGCCCTATCACTCCTGGGTCGCATGCTGCGTTTTGAGCCCAGCGCCCGCATCTCAGCAGCTGCTGCCCTTCGCCACCCTTTCCTAGCCAAGTACCATGATCCTGATGATGAGCCTGACTGTGCCCCGCCCTTTGACTTTGCCTTTGACCGTGAAGCCCTCACTCGGGAGCGCATTAAGGAGGCCATTGTGGCTGAGATTGAGGACTTCCATGCAAGGCGCGAGGGCATCCGCCAACAGATCCGCTTCCAGCCTTCTCTCCAGCCTGTGGCTAGTGAACCTGGCTGTCCAGATGTTGAAATGCCCAGTCCCTGGGCTCCCAGTGGGGACTGTGCCATGGAGTCTCCCCCACCAGCCCCACCACCGTGCCCTGGCCCTGCACCTGACACCATTGATCTGACCCTGCAGCCACCCCCACCAGCCAGTGAGCCTGCCCCACCGAAGAAAGAGGGTGCCATCTCAGACAACACTAAGGCTGCCCTTAAAGCTGCCCTGCTCAAGTCTTTGAGAAGCCGGCTTAGAGGTGCCTTGTGGGCAGGTCGGGTGGGCAGAGGGGAGACTTGGACTTGGACAAGGCTTCAGCCTTTTACCTTCTCCCCTGCCCAACAGATGGCCCCAGCGCACCCCTGGAGGCTTCTGAGCCTCGGAAGCCGGTGACAGCCCAGGAGCGCCAGCGGGAGCGGGAGGAGAAGCGGCGGCGGCGGCAAGAGCGAGCCAAGGAGCGGGAGAAACGGCGGCAGGAGCGGGAGCGAAAGGAACGGGGGGCCGGGGCCTCTGGGGGCCCCTCCACTGACCCTTTGGCTGGACTAGTGCTCAGCGACAATGACAGAAGCCTTTTGGAACGCTGGACTCGAATGGCCCGACCCCCAGCCCCAGCCCCGACCTCTGTGCCAGCCCCTGCCCCAGTGCCAACGCCAACCCCAGCCCAACCTGCCAGTCCTCCTCCTGGCCCTGTAGCCCAGCCCACTGGCCCACAACCACAACCTGCGGGCTCCACATCTGGCCCTGTACCCCAGCCTGCCTGCCCACCCCCTGGCCCTGCACCCCACCCCACCGGCCCTCCTAGGCCCATTCCTGTCCCTGCGCCACCCCAGATTGCCACCTCTACCAGCCTCCTGGCTCCCCAGTCACTTGTGCCACCCCCCGGGTTGCCTGGCTCCAACACCCCAGGAGTTTTGCCTTACTTCCCACCTGGCCTGCCACCTACAGATGCCGGGGGAGCCCCTCAGTCTTCCATGTCAGAGTCACCTGATGTCAACCTAGTGACCCAGCAGCTATCTAAGTCACAGGTGAGAGGGAGGCCCAGGCCATGGGGACACCTGGGTCCGGGCCAAAGGAAAATGGGTTCAGGAGTGGTCCCTGTTCCACAAAAACTAAGCAGCAGATGGGGCTTTGTCTCTGAACATGTCTCCTTGCTCACAGAAGGAGCATAATGGCGATGAAGAGGTTGTTAGGAGACAAGTTAGATATTGGAAAGTGCCTGGCCCAGAGGCGGGGCCAGCTAGCACTCACTGACGGCCGAAACTGGTGTTAGCACTCCCAGGTATCCAGGCGGAGTAGTCAGCAGCATTGGGACCGGGTGCCCTGCAGACCTCAGTCTGTCTGCATTGTAATCTGTCATTCTCTGCAGGTGGAGGACCCCCTGCCCCCTGTGTTCTCAGGCACACCAAAGGGCAGTGGGGCTGGCTACGGTGTTGGCTTTGACCTGGAGGAATTCTTAAACCAGTCTTTCGACATGGGCGTGGCTGATGGGCCACAGGATGGGTAAGGTGGCTGGACTGAGCTCCTAGACTGGGGCTGTGGGGAGAGGTTCCTGGTGCAGGAAGCATGCACCTGTGGGATGGGTGAGAGTCCAGCCTACGCTAATAGCACCCCTCCCTTCCCTTCCCCTGCAGCCAGTCAGATTCAGCCTCACTCTCAGCCTCCCTGCTTGCTGACTGGCTCGAAGGCCATGGCATGAACCCTGCCGATATTGAGTCCCTGCAGCGTGAGATCCAGATGGACTCCCCAATGCTGCTGGCTGACCTG